GTTGTTTTTAGTTAAAAATGAAGTGTCCAAGTGTCGGTGTCGGTGTCCGACACGAGTCGTGTCGACACGGACACGTGAGGTAAATGAAAGAGTCCGAGTAACATAGCCTGTTCTCATACAATTATTTTCAGTTCAGTTCAGCTCAGCTCTAATAAGTACAGTTCAGTTCAGCTCCTAATTTCCTTCTCTTAGAAAATATTCATTTCAGTTCAGTTCAGTTCAATTCAGTTCAATATAGTTTAGTCAATGAGAACAGGTCCTTAGTGGGCATAAAGCCATACATGTTAGCTGCACTTTCAAATGGTTTCAAATTCTTACCACTATTGTTACCACATTGTTGAGCAAGAAGCCTATAGCTCCGGTGGAGCTAAGCTTCAGTTCCCATGGTAGTGACCCGGGTTCGAGGCTCATATCCCCCCTCCCCTGTGGGTAATACCCCTTTGATATTCCTGTGATAGGAAATTAAGGTGGGGCCCACCCCTTTCCCCAAAAAAAAAAAAAAAAAAAAGAAAAAAAATGTTACCACATTGCTTGAACATTACCTTCATTTGTTAACAGGCCACTCTGGGAAGACTTGAAACACTGCAAAATACCTCTTATGTTTGTTGTTGGAGAAAAAGATGAGAAATTCAAGAGTATCAGTCAGAATATCAGCCGTGTAATGGGTCAGACAACAATTTATGAAGCAGTTGAAGTTCCTGATTGTGGACATGCTGTTCACTTGGAAAATCCTCTAGCTCTTGTTAGACTACTGAGACAATTTTTGACAAAAACAAGCTAGCAAGGAACATTGAAATCTGCTGTCAACTTATAAGTAAGCTCATTCTAGCCATCTAATTATTTGCCCGCATCCCAATCCATCCATGTGAAGGTGCTCCATAAAGATCTCTCAAAATAACATGCTAATAAAATAAAAGGACAGGTTGAATTTTGGAATTGCTATCTGAATTAACTCCTGTAGTACAACTACAGTTTGATTATAGCTGTCTCAGTAAACTGTGATGAGCAATCCTTAATACAATCTGCTTTGGGCAGAGACCTTTTCTGGGTATGCCATGATGTTTTTAGCTCGACAATCCCGAATAGGGAGGGAAACTACAGTTCTTGTTGGGTGTGCTCACTTTAGCCAACTGAGAAATGTACTCTGAAATACTGTACTTTTAGTATATTTGTATTGGTAATGTTTAAATGTAAGTGAATTCTTGTATTATTACAAGGCTGATATGGACTATGGAACAGAATATGGAAAAATACATTTTGTTCAGTTGCAGCTTGTACAAGAATAGGAATAGGGTACATAACCAAACAACAATTTTAATTTCATATGGGTCATCCTCAAGTACATTAACAGCAAAACTGAATAGAAGTACAAATCATTTACAGTAATTGTTCCGTTGTTAGTTAGTCATCCACTGCTGCGCCATGCGCTCTAGTGTCCTCAATTGGCAATAATATCATCCATCCATGGTCGTATAGCCAGTAAGAGTCTAGAGTCGGATCATTACAACAAATGTTTTACAAATTTTATACTTGCATGACTGGTTGTGTACAATCAGGATCAACTGGGTAAAAGGCATTTTCATCCAAAGTAAGGCCTTGTTTAGTTCACCTTATTTTTTACTTATTTCAGAAAAAATAAGTTCAGATCAGATCAGAAAAAATAAGTTCAAATCAGATCAGATCAGGAAAAATAAGTTCAGCTCAGATCAGAAAAAATAAGTTCAGATCAGATCATATCAGAAAAAATAAGTTCAGATCAGATAAGTTCAAATTAAATACAAATTATTATTATTATTATTATTATTATTATTATTATTATTATTACTACTACTATTATTATTACTATTATTATTATTATTATTATTATTGGTCAAACAATAAACGATAATAATTAAATTTTCATTATAAGCTCCAAATCATAAACGTTTACAAATATAATTTCCATCATAAGAAGTTCCAAATTTCCTTCGCTATATTAAGTTGTACTTCGTTCATTACTGCCTTATGATTCTCGTTAAACAAATCATAATATGCTCTTGGTTCGATTTCTATACCACTATCAATGGGTATATCCAACTCATGTAATCGAATAAAATTGTGAAGTGTGAATGCAGCAACTATAATCGTCAATTGATGTTTAGTGTCCATATTTGGCATCATTGTGAGTATTTTCCATTGAGATTTAAATTGTCCAAAACATCTCAAATAATTCCAATGATTTGTTACTAGTTTGATATTGAATTGCTTTCCACATTTTACGATCAAAGTACTCACTATTCTATCCCAATTAAGCTTTAAATATCCAAATTCTTTCATCTCCAAGCATATGTCCAACTATATCTCCGTACATTCTTCAGACCATGCTACCCTACTAGCCATTACACTATGATAAAGAGCACTTTGGAATCAATATTTCATGCATAAGTTATAGACATTAATGTTGAATTGGCACCAGGATTATAATCAAAAGGATTCTTTTGAAATAAATGAACTGAAGATAAAATATTAATTGTGCTTTACATTTTCATCGATATTACTTGCATTAGGTCAAATGTAAAATTCATGAAATCAAATAAATGTATATTTTCCTACATTATCAAAAAAACAGTGGGCAAATGATAAAATTAATGACATAGAGTGTTGAAATATTTACCTGTGATGGAGATAAAAGACAAACAACCTATTGAACAAATGAATAGAAAAATATTTTAGGAGATTGATTTAGAGTGTGAAAATTATGACACTAAGATGTTGTTTTATATAGGAAAATAGAGGTGTTACCCATAGTTGTTCGGAATATTGAAATATGAAATGATAATTTTCAATTCAATTTAGTCAACCATTTTACATTACCAAAAAATTTGTAAAAATCCCTATAAAGCTATGACAAATTTAATCTGCAATTTAGGTTTTTTAGGATCCCATTTTAATACTTTCTTATAAACAAATTCATTTATGATGTTGGATATTGTAAATAATAAAATTATCAAATATTACAAGTATATTACCTTATACTATCTGATAATATTAATACTTTTAGGTTTTTTTTTAAAATATTTGTAAGGGATCTAAAATATTTTATAATAATAATAATAATTTTCCTAACAATAATAATAATAATAATAATAATAATAATAATAATAATAATAATAATAATAATAAAAATAAAAAAACATTAATATGTTTAAAAAAATTAATATTGACTAAAAAAAAGTAGAATATTGAAATAATTAAAATAAGTTTATATCAGAAAAGATAAGTTCAGATCAGATCAGATCATAAAAGATAAGTTCAGATCAGATCAGATCAGAAAAAATAAGTTCAGTTCAGATCAGATCAGAAAAAATAAGTTCAGATCAGATCAGATCAGAAAATATAAGTTCAGATCAGATCAGATAAGATAAGATAAGATAAGATAAGATCAGATCAGCTAAAATCAGGTGAACTAAACAGGGCCTAAGACAAGGATGTGAAAATTGATAAAGCCAAGCCTCCACCATCATATTTACGGCAAAGCCTCGTATGTTGTAGTATAAGCTTTGCAACAATACATGTCTTCAAAAAATTAGATATTTAGAGTAAAGTGTTCAATACACTACTAATACGGTTAAGAAACCTCCTTGAACTTGTGAAGCGGATTTTCTCTATAAGTGATGGGTAGCCGAGCAAGCTGGAACTTGGAGAGAGTTAATGGGTGGCTCCTCTCATAGTGATTGTTTTGAAAGGAAAGAGAGTGGCAAAAAATGCAAGTTTATTATTTTTATTATTATTATTTTTTTTAATGGGAAGTTTATTATGTTGATTACAAAACTGTAAATAAAACAATTTTTCATTAAATACGGTAAAAATTCTAAAATACGTCCGGTGTACGATTATGGTACCTTGATTATACCAAATTAAAGTTGATTATACCAACTTTCCTAGGGTTGGATTAATAGATCGAATACCAAACAATGGTTTTAAGAATCTTTCTTCAATTAAATCAATTGACACAAATTAAGATTGGTTATCTTAAGCAGTGGATCCAGATCCCTTTTTGGGTCTTCAAATTTTGGACCTATTGGGTCCGGGTCCTGATGAAAAAACGGATCTGGATTCGGGTTTGGCCCCTAGACTCGAACCCAAATTCGTTTACCCGTTTTAATTTTCCTATTAGAAAAAATTAAAATTGTTTGTTTCTTTATTAAAAATGTTGATGATGTTTATAAAAATAAAAAAAAAAAGTTGATGATGTTAGTAGAGATAAAAATTAGCCCTTTAAAGATATGTATTTTGGATGCTTATATCGGATACATCATCGTTGTTTTTTCACTTGCTCATTTGTAACATCCTACTTTTTTCGTTGTTTATAATTTTTATTTTAAAATATAAGTGTATATGTTGGTTATTTACTTTAGTTGTATAACTTTAATTTAGGTTGAATTTAATAACCCGATAAAAGTTTGAAATGCATTTTTTGATCCAAACATTACATTATTGCAAAAAATTAGGCAAGGTATATTGGACCCGTTTTGGACTGGACCCGTTAGACCCGTCAGATTTGGATCCGGGTCTCCATTTTCCAGACCCGACGGATCCGGGTCGAATCTGGATCCTAGTTACAAAAGGGGTCTGGATCCGGGTCTATCCGGACCCGGTCCAAATCCGACCCGTTGTCATCCCTACATGTGATAAACAACTAAGGAAGAATCTGATCTGGTATGGTCTGGTCAAATCTGATTTAACCAAACTTTGACTTTATGTGTACGATAATCTATAAAGAAACAAATATATTACGTGAGGTATTGTTAGATTCGTAATAATATGTATTTTATTAATATATAATTTTTATAACATTGTTTATTAACAAATTAAAGATACTCCGGTATTTAGCGATAAAACCCGCACATAAATTAATAGTGTATCTAAACTTAACTTTTTCTAATCTAATCTGAACTTATTTTTTATGAAATAAGTAAACATAAGGGCATAAATATGATCTTAAGCACTAATAGTAGTACTAATGTTATGAAGTATCTTGCTATCCCATATATTTGGAGAAATCTGAACCTCTCAAAAGATCAAAAACCATGGCAGTGAGTCTATCTCCTACCCAAGTCTCAGCAAAACACTCCTACACCACCACCATCACCATCACCACCCAAAATAATCGAACTTTCCATCAAATTTACAACAATTCTATAAACCCCAGAAAACACAGAATACACCCAACTTCAAATCATTCAAATGGAAGAACCAATTTCTCAGTAATTCGAGCATATATTGAAAACACCAACCCAATTTCTAGCTTTGCAAACAAAGTTATTGGTTCATTACCCATTGTTGGTCTCATTGCTAGAATTGTTAATGATGAAGGTGGTCTTGCTGGGGATATCATTGATTTTGCTGAATTTCGAAGAAGAGTTGGTAATAAGTGTTCTGTTAATGATTCTAGAGCTTTCTATGAGTTCCAAGAACGTCGCGGCAGGGTAATTTCTTATTCCTTCTATTACTCTCTTTGTCCGGAATTAATTTTTTAGTAGGGTGCGATAGTGTAATTTCAACTAGTGATATAATACGATGTTGTGTCACATGAACTAGTAAACCCATAGTGTAATTTGAACTAGTGATATAATAGGATGTTGTGTCACATGAACTAGCATATTGATTATATAGGGTGTTGATAGTGTAATTTGAACTAGTAATTAACAGGGTGCCGATAGTGTAATTTGAACTATCATATTGATTATATAGGTTGTTGATAGTGTAATTTGAACTAGTAATGACGTGACCACTAACTCCGGATAAAAGTTGTACTTAAACATTGTTATTGTTGAATGTTTGGTGATTATGGTTATTAATTTTTACATTTCAATGTCATTTGATGTTATGTATGTAGTTATATATGTAATTTTGGGTGGTAATTGTGGTTTGGTTTGGATAGACAGGGGAACCATTATACGTTCTACTGTGCTGTTGGTTAGCAGCAATTGGTGCAGGTCTACTTAAATCTGAAGAAATTCTGGAGGGAGTTGCACGCCTTCGTCTTTCGAATGATATTGAGTTTGAAGAGCAGACTTTTATTGATAAGATGACTGAAGCAAAAGAGGCAAGTCAATATCATTATCTTTTGTTTTCTATGTGTTCAATATCAACTATTCCGTTTGTCCGTAATCAATAGTCACATTCATATATATACTAGTTTAGGAAGTCCGAAAAACATAATGAAGTTGTTCCCTTTCATGATATTGTAATTGTAAGTGTTTATAATTATGTCTCCCAACATTGCACAAGTTGAATTAGATGATGGGGTGAAGATGGAAATGAGTCAGAACTCAACTGTAGTAATTAGTAAAGGGTCCTTGATAATTTATACCCATTATCAGGCCTTATCCTTAATGTTGATAAGTTGAGACTCGGTGAATTAAACAGTGCTTAAATTCACTATGACACAAACATCATTTGGCCTTGTTTCTTGACATACAATGAATCAATGTTATGAAAGTTTGTTTCTTTAGATTTCCAACAACAATTTTGCTTTTAGTCACTCACAGTTGATGAACTGTACTTTTATACAATATGTGTCATAAAATAGATGACATTTGGCATGTGATGGATGGAGGATGATGTACACGGATGAATGTTGATATCTTTGTTTAGTAAATTATAGTCATATGACTCTTATCATTGTTGGTGATGGATACCAGCAAGCTCTGTATGGGTGAGTCTTGTTTGCAGCTTTGTACCATTGCCAATACGTGCTTAACTATACCCTCAAACTCATCAAACTTGTCTAGCTGCTATACTTCATGTTTAGAATAAGAAAATTTGGAGGGACAGGGAGGGAAGGGAAAGCAAGAACTACATTTCCCTTATTAGGATGGGATATAGGGCAAGAGAAGGATAAGGAAATGGAGGGATCCACTATCCTTCTCCGTTTCATATCATAGGTGTCTAGCCTTGTTTATGATACCCGAAATACTTACCAAACTTGTGTAGTTGCCCTGCTTTTTCACTGCTAGACCACAGTGATCAGCATGAATACAAAACAATGGAAAGTAAAATTTTTAATTGCAATATGAAAAGAGGAAACTGAGTCTTTTGTGATTAACAAGTTGCAATCCATGTCATTTTCATGCATGTTGATATAACAGTTCATCTTTAAGTCTACTTGAGGGGTGATGGAATCCAATTGTTGATTATCAGTTTGTAATTCATTCAATGTTAGCGGAACTTGCTAAGATGTACTTCCTAAGCTATTCTTTCATGGGGAAACCTGAATGAGCTAAATCATTAGCTTAGCCGAATTTGTAGAAATTTTTCAGATTCTAGCCCAACTTCAAGATTAGTACTATGCCTTTAGGAAGTTGAAAATTCACTTCATTTGTAGACCATATGACCATGTGATAAAGTATGTGCCTGCTGCATATAATGTATTCGTGCCAATGACATTGTGGGAGTGATTACTGCAGAGAAGAGCTAAACTGAATGCTGCAGCTCCTACAATCCCAATGGAATTAAGAGCTGAAAAAGCGCTTGATGCTATATATGTTTGTTGCTTTGGGAAGGACTTGATAGAAGAAGAAGATGAAAGGTTATTAATTACTATTCTTAGAGCTGTCTTTCCCAGTGTTCAACAACCGGAGATTGAAAGAATTGTCAAAGATAAAGCCAGAAAAGTAGCCGAAGGTGGTGAAGAGGGAGAATTTCCTGAAGAACCTAAACCGTTGTCCAAAGAAGCTATACAATTACAGATGAAGGATCTCCAATTCCTGAAGCAGAACAGCAACGAAGGCACTTGAACAGAACAGTGAGTAATCTTTCCTCCTACTCTCTTTGATGCCAATGATAGTCTGAATTAGAGCTGATTTGTAAACACTTTCGGGGAGAATTATGTAATGAGTTGACAGATTAAATGGAAAGGGTTGAAAATGAGATAAATGGCTATATAAATCAATTGTGAACATATTTAGCCTGTTATCTTTTGAATCCTTTTCTGGCCTGATGATTCCATTTCTTAATCAGATATTCAGAATCCTATAGCCTGTTTGATTCTTTGGCACAGATGAAACATAGGGTATTGAGTATTGACTGCTCGGCTGAGAAACGTATGGAAGATATGAACTTGTATAGATTCGCGGACAGGGTCAACTGCATTACTAGAATAAAGGTGTGATACTGATACATGATCAATATACACTCCTGTTATAGTTTAAAGTTCAAGAACTCAAGTCCTTAAATTAGTCCCCTTTACGCAAGGTGTTGTCAAAAAAGTTTGAAACGAGCTCACGAGCATGAGATTACTGGGATGTTGGATAAATTTGAAGGTTATAATTGGATAATACAGAAGGGTTTTATGCAACCAAAAATGTAATGGATATATCAAGATGTAAGAAGTGTTTGATGATAAAATATTGAGGTATATTTATCCGAAGTATATAACAATTAGTCTTTTGCAATTGCCAGGTTTACAAGATGAATATTGCAGAATTCATCTTCATTGTACAAGAAAGCATAAACTATAATTAAATAAACTATATAATTAAACTTTATCTATAATCAATTCTTCCAAATAAAATAGTCTAGATGGGGTTAAATTACCTTAGTTCGTTATATTCTTTATACTTTTTGTTTGTTCTTTGATTTAACAATAATAATTCCTCTATAAAAATACACTTCTAAAGGGACATATCACAAATATATGATTATATGTGACAGAATTGAAGTTTCCTGTCTACATTACTAGTACTGGTTGTACAAACTAACTCTTGAAATTGATATCATTTTCATTAATAAACTTTGTCATGTCCTAGTGTCCTACGAGTAGTAAGTATGTTTTGGAGTTTTAGGGGACTACTTCTTGGATTGTAAACGAATCAGTATTGCACATGGGTCTTCATCAGTAATCATATATACTACCTCCGTTACATATTATTTGCAACGATTTGACATAAAGTAGAGAGGAAAAATGTCTAATCGTTGCACATAATATGTAACGGAGATAGTATATATGATTACTGATGAAGACCCATGTGCAATACTGATTCGTTTACAATCCAAGCAGCAGTCCACTAAAACTCCGAAACATACTTACTACTCGTAGGACACTAGGACATGACAAAGTTTATTAATGAAAATGATATCAATTTCAAGAGTTAGTTTTGTACAACCAGTACTAGTAATGTAGACAGGAAACTTCAATTCTGTCACATATATGATTACTGATGAAGACCCATGGAATAATATACATTTAAATTTTAAACAGTACTAATCAAAATTATTTTTTGGAATTTTATTAAAATTTTAATCAAAATACTTCATCAAATTCCAAAAACAAAAAAAAAAAATCCCTCAAAATACCAAAATAATGAATAAATAAAATTCAATCTATACTTTCTGTGAAAAAAAAATAATCTGATCATTCCAACTATTATTTAGATTAATATTATAAAACATTTGATGGGTTTCAAACACTTGACCTTGAGGATACAAGATCTAACTCTTTACCATCTTAGCTAATAATAATTCATGTCATCTATACAAATAAATATAATTATAAATGACGCGCACCAATTAAAAAGAAAACGAGATAAGCAGTTTGAAAAAAAATTAAGAGGAATAAAAACAACATTTCTCGAACAATAGAGTATTAAAAATTGCTTTCTATACTTTTTTTAATTAGTAACATTATGCTTAACATCTATGTATAACATACATAATAAATGATAATATATTTCATAAAGAAATAATTTAATCAAAGTGGTAACCCGATGCAACGCCCGGACCGCACACTAGATATTATTATTATTATTATTATTATTATATTTATTATTTTATATTTTAAAAGGCGTTCCTAACAGTGGCGGAACCAAGGGCTGGGGTGGGCCTTGGCCTTTCCCTTGGTTGAGATTATATATTAAATGTTGCAAATTGTTATTATGGTTCTACTTAGCTCAGTTTGTTTTAGTTAGTAATGAGATTTATTCCCCACCCTAAGTTCGAATTCTACTCCCTACACTTTCATTTTTTATTTTACTTTGCACTTTTTCACTTTTATTTTATTTTACTTTGCAATACTAACTTGTACCAATTATACTATTTATTATATAAAGGTTATACTACTAGTCTACTACTCCAAGCATTACATTTTCATTTTCAGAATTTTTTAACAAGTACAATACTATATATATTTAGTTTGGCCTCCTTAATAATCAATTTATGGTTCCGCCCTTGGTTCCTAATTAGGATACACGCCACGTGTTATCTATCTCCATCTTCTATCAAGAAGATGCCACGTCACCAAGTAGAATCATATATCAACGATACATGTGAAATTAAAAATGTTTATATCAAGAATTGAATCTGGGTCTATTAGTAAATGAATAAAAAGTCATACCATTTTTGTTATCTAATACTTTTGCTTATTTATTCTTCTTAAAATATAGTTAATGTACGCTTGTAGGTCATGGGTTTTTTTTTTTTTTTTTTTGGTTTTTTCTTACAAATTATTTTCTTCAACTAAATCTATAATAAAAGTAATTACGATCATTATAATACATGATTCCTCAAAAAAAAAAAAAAATTGAAAACTATAATACAAACTAAAGAATATTTAACGTTAAACTTGGGGCATTGTATGGCCTAAACACTAAATATGATGATAATAATAAATGTGCATGTTATTTTCACACTCCCTATATTTTATTTTATTTTTATTTTGTTTTTTGGATCGGATATGCATGACAAGTTTATTGAGAAATACTTCAAAGTAAATAATTGCACCATTTACTATTTTATGGTCTCCAATATACTATTTTGACTGTCAAAAGTTTTTTAGGTTAAACCCTCAAAAGAGAAATGATTCAATTATTTGGTAATAGAGGGTGTACAACACTATTTTATCTAATAATTTCCCATCACATGATGATGATTGTAGATATATATCAATTGATGATAATGTCATATTCTTAATGAATTTTTATTTGATTTTACGTATCAGCTTCTCTTCAATAAAAACTTATTCTACAAGCCGAGAAAAAACTAATTATAATAGGTTAAAGTTTTTCTAGTGACACTCAAAACCGGGGATCGATCAAAAGTCTTGGTGTGTCCATTGTGGTTCCCAATTAATTCAACATTACAACAACAAATAATGTAAGGGATTGCAATTGACAAAAATCTAGCATGGCTCACGTTGTTTTGTGTAAGAAAGGGCCACTTAGATATGTATAGTATAAAGACCTGGACTACATAAAATCTCTCTTAAATCTTAATATCCTAACTCCGAAGGTCAAGAAATAGATAGGGATATTGGTGATAAGGTGGTCGGGTAGGGCCGTCACCCTTTGGAATGTGTCGGTAGCATTGCACGTTCATCCCATTTGATTTTAAGGATAGGAATTTAACACTATTACAAGGGTTTATTATGTGTTAAAGCATTAGTTTTTAAGTGCTATTGCGATATTAATTCAAGCAAAATGATGAAAGTAGACCTACTTTTTCTGTCAATTATTAGGGTGGGGGTGTTTTTAAAAGCCATAATACTGTATTAAAGAAATTAATTTTTTGTATTTGTGGTTATTATTTATTTATATTTTTGGTGAATTAAATCAAATTGATTTTTAATGATTAAAATTAGGAGTAATTTTTTAATCTCCGTATCATCTAAGGGTCTATCATGACTTAATGAACTAAGCTGAACTGAACTGGTTGGAGTTGAACTGAATTGAATGGAACCCCCTTCCCCTCCATCGGAATCTGCCCCCCAGCCCGTTCGGTGGGGGGAACGGGGATGGGGGTCGGTTCCGGTGAAGGGAAGGGGAAGGGGAATGGGGGTGGTTTTGGTTCGGAGTGGGGGTCGTGGCAGCAATAACGGAGGAAAGGGAAGGGGGGTGGCTGCGTAGGGTGGGGAAAGGAGAGGAGGGTGGGGTTTGCACCGGCCGCCGGCATGGGGGAGGAGGAAGGGGTAGCAGTGAGCTGAAGAGGTGGCAGTTGAGAGTGGCTGGTTTTTTTTAAAAAAAAAATTAATTTTTTTTTTAATAAACTTAACGGAACCTTAACCGATTCCGTTAAGTGGTAGTGAAATTTTAATTCTTTGATTTTAGATGGTATCAAAATAAAATAAAATAATTAAACGGGTAACAAATGTAACACAAGGTACTGACACCCAAGTAGAGCAAAATAGATTTTTCGCTCTACTTGGGTGTGAATTCGAGTTGGACCTCAAAAAGGCTTAGAAATCCCATCAACGGTATAGCCATTTTTGTTCAATTGAGCCCTAAAGCGGTGTATGAGTGTGTAGTAAAACCAACTTAGCTAGAAAATTGCAGGAAGTTTCAAATCCTAAGAAATGCATGTTTAGTCTCTTGTTTGGTTGACAATAGAGAAAATGGGGGCAATGATAATTCACTAGGCCCCGTTCTTTAGAGCTGCTTTGCTCTGCTGAAATATGTTCTGCTCTGCTCTGCTCTGCTTCAATCTGATCTGCTTCAATCTGCTCTGCTTAAAAATAGTACTTAAAAAAAGCTGTTTCAATCTGCTCTGCTCTGCCCTGCTCTGCTCTGCTCTGCCCTGCTCTGTTCTGCCCGTCTACTTCAATCTGCTCTGCTCTGCCCAGAAGCTCAAAAGAATAGGGCCTAAGAAATACTCCGTAAAAATTAGTGCAGAATTGACTTACCAAAACCCACCTATATATATACATATATATATATATATATAAACTCTATTTTTATTTGGATTCAATTATATATGTTTTGATTATTTAAATTTGCAATTGGCAAGGCTTGCAACAATTTGGGTTTGCATATCATAAATTGTTAAAGTGATAGTAAAGCCAATGATCGTCACAATTTTTTATTTTTGGGTTGATTTGTTGAAATAAATCTAAGCAGGTACACCCTGGCGTACCATCTAAATTTCAAGGAATGTGTTCCCTTAGTGCAACTTCCAGTGAATTTAATCAATGGGTATTTCTCCTTTTCATTGGTTAATTTTTTTTTTCTTTCTTTCTTTTATGAATTGAGCTACTTTCTATAATTATCGCCAATTTACTTATAAGCAAAAAATTTAATGTAAAGTATTTCTATTAGATATGAAGTTTTTTTTATAAAAAAAATCCTTTAGAAAAAGAAAATGCGATTGGTATTTTTTGGTAACAGTACGAGTAATTTGAATTTCTTACAAAAAAATAATTATTGATTTTCTTTTGGTATTTTAAATAATTCTCATGAATTTGTTGAAGTGTACCAAACAATTTCCTAGAGCATTTTCGAGGAAGTCTGTAGGCCAAAGTGTAGTATGAGTCTGTAAGCTTTGATCAGTTTGGTGTTTGAACTTTTACCTTTTTATTTTAATAAACCCATTTCTTTAAGAAGTGGGATAATAAAGTCTATAGTGAATTAATGATCATTTTATGTACGGATTATATTGAAGAAGTGG